TAAAAAGCATAAAGTAAAAATTCTAAACATAATACAATATAATAATTTTATCAATTATTTTACATTTCAGTCATTAAAATGTGAATTACAACAACATTTTATTATTTATTGCCGCGGAAATAGAAGAAAGTCTGTCCAAATATATATGAAGGGTTTCATCAATGCGTTCCAAGTCCTATATTTTTAGACGCCTGAATTTTTTTTCGAAAAATGAGTTATTTAAATGTAAACGATATCTGCGCTTGAATCATAAATATCACGACACGCATGAAACCCTTGGGTGTACGTTAATCACTCACCAAAATAATGAGGTAGAACACACTACGGTGACCGCCTTTGTGGCACCAAATCGCATCCTGCCGGGGGTCGCCCGTGCGAAATTAAATGCCCCTCTTCTTCAGAAACCTTCTCGGGGGTATTCATCGATTCCCTAAAGTTTTATGGCACTCTGATAAAAGGTGTCGAAACGCATCCAACATTTTTTTTAATACATCGTATATAGAGAAGAATCACATCCGCCAAGAACGTCGCCCTTGCGAAATTAAAAAATGATTTTTTACATTAGAACACCTGGGGTGTTCTAATCAGCTCCCCAAAGTTTGATGGAGTTTGATGAACGTTGTGGAACCGCAATCAACTTTTACTTTTTATATACCGTATATAGAGGGAAAAAAATCGCGCCCTGGTAGGGCGCAACCTCTGCAAAATTGAATTTTATTTGTTTTTTTATACATAGATAGACAGATAGATATAGATCTAAGCTGAGTCTACGATTTTGAAGAAAATAAGTAATGTACTTAAATTGTTCTGTGTAATAATAAATTGTGTAATAAATCATATTTGAAAAAAAAATGAAAAATTCGTTTGTACTCATGTTAATATTCATAAGATAACCAACGTAATAAGTACAAAATTTAGTAATGCAAGTTTAATTGTATTAACAGCTATTATTTATAGCGGATCTTCAGACTTACTGCATATTTTATTCCGAAAACTTAATTGCTTTGATAAAACTTCTAAAACGATACGGTGAGCTAATATTTTTGTTTTATGTATAGGTAATGTAATCCCCGATAAAATAAAGAGAAAGTATACAATTGTAAAAATAAAATAAAAAATAAGTAACTACCTTATTACATTCAGCTTGTCCACAACTAGTCATTTAACTGCACACAACAGTTATGTAAGTAGGTGATACGGGTCGTGAACAGGAAGTCATCTGAGTATTACGTCAGCCACGGGTTTTGTTTGTTTACCACGCTTGAGTGGCTTTATAAGATCAGATTTGAAACGGATCTGCGTCTACCGTCGTTAGTTGTTTTTACTGGAGGCGTATTGAAACATGATGGTGTCATGTACCATAGTTAAGTCACCTGAAAATTTAAGACACGTAGACATTAAGACAAGTAGAAAATACGACAGTATATCATGGACCAATATAACATAGGACCAGCTGAATATAAGTCCAATATAATATCCACTCCTTTTAATGCCAACTATGACATTAGTTACGGACAGCTGAAAACGTTGACAAATTTGAACTAAGGTGCATGTAAATACACTAGACACATGTAGACTTAGACACAAGTTCAATTCGAGAAATGTATAGATTGACACCTGCATATTTGGGCACATGTAGGCTTTAATACAGGTACAAATAGATACCTGTATACACGGACAACTGACTTTTATGTAAGCATATAATATGTTATACACGTGTGTCGAGGCATTAAAACCAACATTAATTGACTAGCCTGACAATTTTTTTTTAACGTTTAGAACTCCAAAACTTCAGTTACACATTTAGTTAGCATTATATTTACATAACAACAGTAGCTAAAGTAAACAATAATTCTGTACTTGCAAGAAGCGGTTTTATGTTCTTTCAAACTTTAAGAAGAAAGGTCACTGACACGTTATTTTTAAACCAGATGACTTTAGTTCCATTAATGTTTAACTTGTAATCTAATTTAATTGTTGAAGTTAGTAATAAACATTCGCTTTTTGCCGAGGAATTACTAATATAACAAACATATCTTTCACAGCATGATTTTTTTCAGAAAAATTCTTTAATGCAACAAGAAAATAACAGGGACATAGCCCCGCTAATAAATAAAACAATCTATTAGAACTAGAACGTCTATTTCGGTGAAGTAGAAACCAACAGATTCATGTTGTAACCTGACACAAGAGACTTGAAGCGGCTGGTGTGTCCCGTTCTATGACACACATAGTGACTTGTTTGTTTGATGAACCTTTGCATTGGTTGGCTTCAAGTTAAATGTTTACATGTTATTTTTAGACTTGGTTTTTCTGACTTACATCACGATCTAAAATTCCTTCTAGTTTTGACTTTAAACTTCTGTAAAACGTCAGTGGTGTCGTTGTAATTTGAGTTCATTATTTGTAGCCGACATTTTAAGAAAAAGTGTAAACTCACATCTTCAACTGCAAAGTATGATATTTCTCCTTAACTGATGGTTTTTATTTAATGCCATAGAAACAAATCAATTCAAATTGTCTGTGACACCTCTGGAAACATGAGGTATGGACTTCATAATTACGTACACTGTAAAGCAGGGGTCTCCAAACTACGGCCCGCGGGCCGGATACGGCCCGCGAAGTCCTCTCATCCGGCTCGCTGAGATATTTTTTTCCAAGAAAAATCCTTTGTTGGTGATGGCCTGGGAACTATGCCCAGAAAAATCAAAAACATGCCTGGAAGAAACTGGCCCCCGAACTGAAATTTGATAGTTAATTAGGCCCTCGGACTGAAAAGTTTCGAGACCCCTGCTGCAAAGCGATAGTCTGTATTTCATACCACACGACATGTGCTTACTACAAGACATACGGTACAACACTTGATCCAAGCGTTAGAATTGCAGGTGCAGTTTAATGAATTGTAATGGTTCAACTAATTGTATTAATGTCTAAGGACATGTTTCTTGTGGCCTACTTAGAAAACCGGGGAATGGGACAAGCGAAACTCTTAAGATTACTACAATGCTATTTGTTAATTTTAGAAATTATGTTACAACTATTCACAATGAGAAACAACATTATTAATACACTACACCATATTCAGTGGCTAGTGTTACAGTGGAAACTTGTGACAGTGGCTAGTGTTATACTAGAAACTTGTGACAGTGGCTAGTGTTATACTAGATACTTGTGACAGTGGTTAGTGTTATACTAGAAACTTGTGACAGTGGCTAGTGGTATAGTAGAAACTTGTGACAGTGGCTAGTGTTATAGTAGAAACTTGTGGCAGTGGCTAGTGTTATAGTAGAAACTTGTGGCAGTGGCTAGTGTTATACTAGAAACTTGTGGCAGTGGCTAGTGTTATACTAGAAGCTTGTGACAGTGGCTAGTGTTATACTAGAAACTTGTGGCAGTGGCTAGTGTTATACTAGAAACTTGTGACAGTGGCTAGTGTTATACTAGAAACTTGTGACAGTGGCTAGTGTTATAGTAGAAACTTGTGGCAGTGGCTAGTGTTATAGTAGAAAACTGTTACAGGTAAACAGAACAAATCAGCGGCCTTTAATTACATTATGTCGCGCAAGTGTTCATTTTTTAATGAAGAAGATTTTGTCATGTCCAGTAGTGCACGCCATCCTACACTGTTGTGGTTCGACGTTAACAAATATTTAGAAACAATGAAGTAACATTTGGAATTTCTAAAAGGCAATACATACAATATTTAGAATGACAAAAACGACACATACAATATTTAGAATGACAGAAGCAACACATACAATATTTAGAATGACAGATGCAACACAAACAATATTTAGAATGACAGAAGCAACACAAACAATATTTAGAATGACAGATGCAACACAAACAATATTTAGAATGACAAAAACGACACATACAATATTTAGAATGACAGATGCAACACAAACAATATTTAGAATGACAGATGCAACACAAACGATATTTAGAATGACAGATGCAACACAAACATTATTTAGAATGACAGATGCAACACAAACAATATTTAGAATGAAGGATGCAACACAAACAATATTTAGAATGACAGAAGCAACACATACAATATTTAGAATGACAGATGCAACACAAACAATATTTAGAATGACAGATGCAACACAAACAATATTTAGAATGACAGATGCAACACAAACAATATTTAGAATGACAGATGCAACACAAACAATATTTAGAATGACAGAAGCAACACATACAATATTTAGAATGACAGATGCAACACAAACAATATTTAGAATGACAGATGCAACACAAACTATATTTAGAATGACAGATGCAACACAAACAATATTTAGAATGCAGAAGCAACACATACAATATTTAGAATGACAGATGCAACACAAACAATATTTAGAATGACAGAAGCAACACATACAATATTTATAATGACAGATGCAACACAAACATTATTTAGAATGGCAGAAGCAACACATACAATATTTAGAATGACAGATGCAACACAAACATTATTTAGAATGACAGAAGCAACACAAACAATATTTTGAATGACAGAAGCAACACATACAATATTTAGAATGAAGGATGCAACACAAACAATATTTAGAATGACAGATGCAACACAAACAATATTTAGAATGACAGAAGCAACACATACAATATTTAGAATGAAGGATGCAACACAAACAATATTTAGAATGACAGAAGCAACACATACAATATTTAGAATGACAGAAGCAACACAAACAATATTTAGAATGACAGAAGCAACACATACAATATTTAGAATGAAGGATGCAACACAAACAATATTTAGAATGACAGAAGCAACACATACAATATTTAGAATGACAGATGCAACACAAACAATATTTAGAATGACAGAAGCAACACATACAAGTATTTGAAGTATCACATTTAGATTTACATAGTGAAGTATCACATTTAGATTTAAATTGAAAATTATCACATATAGATTTAAATCCAAAAGTATCACATTTAGATTTCCACAGTGAAGTATAACATTTACACTATCCAACAACCAATGCTGTGGCTTGCTACAGATGTTAAATTAAAACGTTTTACAAATTGTGCAAATATGGATCTAACAAGTGGGTGTGTCGAATATAAATAATTGTTTTATTACACAAAATAATACGACAATATAATCTTCGATGAACTATGCCAGAAGAGTGAATCTCGTAATTAGTTTGTGAAAAGGCACGTTTGTTGGTTTTAATCTCTTGTTGTTGTTGACCTTGTTTATCATTACTATGTTTACTGCAATAACCTTAGTAAACATGTTATACTTCTGACTGTATTGTGAAAACAATTTAGGAACAAATTCGGAAACAACTAAACAGTGAGCAATCAGTCAATGTTACACTCGTGCTTGCAAGACACAATTTTAAATACAATTTATCTCCCTCTTGTAGATCTAGAACTGTTAGACAGGACCCGTGTGTGACCTTATCCCTAATCCAAACTTCACTTATATAATCTTCTGTGTTGTTGTCATCTTGATAGCCAGTCTTGGTTTTTGTTGACAAACGTTTGCGATATAATGCGATGGATGCTTCACCCTTGAATACTGCATCTATATTAAAACTGAGACAGTAAAGCCCGTCTGTGGGTACTGTAAACTCTCCAGTCGTTGGTTGAAAGCATCCACCAGTATTACAGAACACTTGACTAAACTCTGTAATGGCGGCACCAGCGGTGAGAGATAAATCATGTTTTATCATGGCACTAAACCCAACATTAGATTGACATTTTGTTTCTGTATAAAATATAAAAATGATAAAATTAACATTTGCTCATTGATAACCTATGACTTTATAAAGGTAAGCGAAGGCTTAAGGTAATCTATATCGTATGTGTGTAAAGACATTTATAATTACATTATTAGATCTAAGACAAAACTTAATAAAACACATTTTTTACACGCATAAATTAGATGTCTAGAAAAAATATCACATGTTGCCGATATACTCACCTAATGCATCAAGCTTTTCAGTTAACTGAAGATGTACATGGAACAAACATAAAGACATATATTTAGCTTCCCTTAACTTTAAAAAAAAATTCAAATGAATATTCCTAGTATCTCACAGAAATACCACATAAAATCTAGCTTACGATTCAATTTACCCGAAGACCTAATCTAAAATTAAAATCAATTTACCTGAACAGAGCTTTGTTCTCTTGATTTCATCAGTTGACTGAAGACATTTTGTAAAGACTCAAATTGTGAAAATCTTTTTGCCAGTACTTGACACATGGCTCCAGTCTGTACAGATATAAAGGGGTAAATTTACTTGTCTATAATTTCATAAAGGATTAATTTAGTTGTTGTGGTTGTCTTTAATTTATAATTGGTTAATTTATTTTTCACTGAACCGTGGTTGTAAATAATTTTATAAGGGGTTATTTTATTTGTTCCTTATCTGTAGCTTTCTATTATCTAATTAAATGGTTCATTAAAATCTAACGTAACAACAATCTCTAGTATTTTTTGAAGGGTTTGACTTGGAATGGATAACGTGTTAAAGATAAGAATGTACAGCTACCTTTAATTCACCTTGTGTTAATTTTGTATCAGTTCTAGACAAACTTTCTGATAATTCGTGAAAGGATGTTTCGTGATCATTTGTTGTCTTGACCAGACCTTTAGTGACCACACTTAGTTCTTCTATGTGTTTCTTGTTGTCACAGCTAGCTTCATTTATTTCTTGTATTGACGTCATCATTTGCCTCATGTTATCAGAATGTCTTTGTGTCGCGTTATATTGTTCTTCTACTTTTTCTGTCAACACATCCAAGTTTTTCTCTATTTGTTCTACCCTTCTATTTTGTTGTTTTGATTTCTTTGCTTGAGATTTTAGCTTGCCTTCAAAACGTGTGAGTTTATCATTGACTGTGTTGATATTTTCTTCTATCTGGAGATATTTTCTTTCTAGTGAACCAGTTGTCATGTCAGTGACGTCTAGCTTGTGTAGCAGAGACTGGAACTCTTCTATCGAGACTTGATGTAAATAATATGTAAGTAGTTAGATACACATACACACTCGAATCTAATAACGATTATGTTCTTCGAAACAAGTTATAAAATAAACAATAACAATTCTATTATCGAACACAGACGAACACAAATAGCATATATATATATATATATATATATATATATATATATATATATATATATATATATATATATATATATATATATATATATATATATATATATATATATATGTATATAAAGTAGCTACCATATTTGGAACTGCCATCTGTTGATTCATGTTGTGATTTTTCAAAACTGCCACCTGTGTTGCGACTGTCTGATGGTGAAGTACTAGAGAGATATTCAGCTGGTCCTGGGCTATGGGTTGTGTCCCGTTGATTTTCTGCAGTATATACACAACACACGTAACAGTTAACTCAAACATAATAGATCATTTTTTTTAATAAAAAATCTATCTTACTTTTAAGTATTTATATCTAAATCTATTCATATACCTAATAAAGAAGAATAACTCCTCAATGAAGACATATGTGTCTCTTCTAATCCTTGCATCAAGTCTATAAATGATTTTGTGTTTGTATCTGTATCTGTTAGCCAACAGTTACATTCCTTTATAACCTGGATTAAATGTAAAAATGCTATAGGTATATCATCTATAACATTATGCCTATTAATATTACACGTACATCCCCAACACCTTCAATCCAACATGTTAAACACGATGATCGTATAAACTTCATGTATGTGTTTATTTTAATAGCGTTAACAACTTACATCATTGATGTTATTTAGTACTGGAGTCAACACATTATTTTGATGTTCTAAAAACTTTAGAAATGTTGATAAAGTTTGTACCTGATAAGTTGGTCTCATCTAAAAAAAAAGTTTTAGAAAATTGTTAAGTAAGTGGTACGTCTAATTGATAGCAGTTTAGACTATAATATTTAGAGGGTAGTAAACTTGAGATTTTTGTTCATTTTTTAATTATACTTGGAATATTGCCCTTTTTTAAAATAATTAATTACAAAACTGAAAAATTTAATGTTTACATTATGATGTTACAATGTTAACTCAGTGAAGGTCGTCAAATGTCATGACACAGTAGCTGGACTAGTTAACGAGAGATTATACTCAATATGAAAAAGAAATTTAACACATCAATGTATTGTGAACCGTATTATAAAAACAGATCCAGATGGACAGACTTACTTTTCTAAAGAATTTTTGCTGTAATGGCGACAGGTTTACACTAGACTTTTGATTTCGGTTTTAAAATTTCTATTTTTATAAGAAAACATGTCATATCGGGATTTCCCAATGTTATTTTAAAGGTTAAAAATATTACGACATGTCTCCGATTAGTTAGCACTATACAAAACGCGAAATCAACTTATTGATTATATTTTTCCACTTGCCCTATTCTAGGTATCGATAATATTATATTTAAAGATTTGTTTTTCTATCTATTTGTTATTATTGTTATTTTTTGACAACAAATTAGAATGGTACATTTATCCACTATTATCCAGAAAAGTGAAATTTGGCAACATCCGTCTTTTCTTAACTTATTCCTATGGTTTGCGTCTTGATTTACTATGCGCACTTTTCTTAATGTATTTAAGACAATGGAACCATTTAGTTAAAATACGTTAGACAATGGTGTAGTCCGGCTGTAGACACAGATCCTGGGCTCGATGCAGTAGGTCGTCACCTGATGGACTGTCCCACATGTCCCAACCAGGTGCTGGATTACATGGGGAAGAAAACAAAATACCAAAGGAAGCCAACGTGTATAGCTACTTGTAATGTGGGTGAGAGAAATTCGTTATTCTCAACCATTTTTAGAGTGTCTGACTAATTAGCAATAGCTTAAGCCGGTAAAGACCTTATAGTTGGCCGTTTAAAAAGTATAAGTAAATAAAATAACAGACATTTTAAATCATAGAAATGTTTACACGCTTTGTATGAATTGTTAGTAGAATTTGTTATTACATTAAATATGAATGTATGTGGGAAATGATTTTGAAATGGATTTGAATATAATTTTTGTTTGTTACATTTCCAACAAAAATTAAAATAGAAAATGGCTAAATACCTTTCAAGACTGATACATAACAGAAGTACTTTTTAAATTCATGTACTAGCCATGGTGATGTTTCAAAGCTAATATTACTCTTTATAGACAATCACCAATTATACCGTTTGCTTTAGATTTAATCCATTTCCCTTGATAAAGATACTACAGATTTGTGTTGCTGTAATATTCATATATAAGTATATCGATCAGAAGAACGTTTTTCTCTTAATAAAAAAAATACTGTTCTTTTAAAAAATATATATATATTCCTAATTACTTCCTGTTTATTCGATTAGCATTTCAAGGGAAACATCAGAAATTAATATTTCATTTACACAAACAAACAAAAAGAAGGGACAAAATGTTCACTATAACATATGTTTTTTTTTATTTACAAAAACATGTTTACAAAATAAATGTTTTTCTCGCCGTATTAATCTTACATAAAAAGTATAAATAAACAAGACTATGTGTAGATTTGCTGTCCATTTGCACAACGTTCAAATTCTAAAATAAAATGTACTAAGTAAAAATATACCGTTGAATATTGGAAAGCTTAGGGTAAGCTGTTCAATAATAGTTTCAGAAATATTTTAAACATATTTTTGTTTACATTTAAGAAAAACCAACAACTAATCCTCGTCCCAGTGCACCCCACTAAAATTGAATACGCCGTAGTTAGTTCCAACGTGGAGGTGATCAGACCAGTCAAAACGCAGTCTGTAGACCTGAGCTCCACTGCTTCCTGGGCAGGTACATGTTGTGTACGTGTACCTGGTCTCTCCTAACTTCCCATTATGTCTGTGTATCCAGTGACCTATAGAGACCTTCTTAGAACAGCCGTGAGGATGTGACACTATAATGGTCAGCTTGTCCACATCTATCCGACTCTTGTATTTGTCCCTTACTTTCTCTCGTAGATCATCAAAGCGCTCAACCATCTCTCCCATTTTATCAGCTACATCTACGTCATGTGTCGCACAATACAACAAACACGTGTCTCCAACAGTGTATGACAAACCCACCTCATATCCATGAATGTTGACCACTGGACTTTTATCATCATCAAACCACAACCTACAGCTGGACTGTCTCGCCTCACTTGAATCAAAAACCACATGTCTGGCTGTCAACACCCAAGCCTTCCACCACACTTTACTGGGTGTGTCCGAGTGGTCACATTCAGGACATGGACAAGTTCTGTAGCCCCTCATTCCGTCTGTGTACTTTTCCACAAACCACACCATCCCAGTCCTTGTCATCAGTGAGTTCTGTCCCCTGGTGTTGTAGCAAGGATATCGATCTTTAGTACCTGGTACAAACTCTGGTCTGTCTGGAATGGTCAACTTAACGGCTATCCTGACTGTTAGGGCAGCCAGGTCGTTGTCATGGTAACAAGAAGGAAAATTTTCAACAGTTAACTTATTTAAGGTATTAATTTTTTATGGCCGGGATTTTTGTTGCAAATTACCAAGTGTTTGTAAAGATTTATCTCACCTTGACCCTCAAAACATTCTTGTAATTCAAGTGTACCTGTACAGGTAAACAAAAACGGGTCTACGACAAATTCCCGAAAGACACTTGCCCGAATGCCGTTTGCCCGAAGGCCGATTTCCCGAATGGACACTTGCCCGAATGCGACAAATGCCCGAATGGACACTTGCCCGAATGCGACAAACGCCCGAATGCACACTTGCCCGAATGCGACAAATGCCCGAATGGACACTTGCCCGAATGCGACAAATGCCCGAATGGACACTTGCCCGAATGGGACAAATGCCCGAATGGACACTTGCCCGAATGCGACAAATGCCCGAATGCCACTTGCCCGAAGGCCGTTTGCCCGAAAAACGTTAACATTATATATTACTAAATTTAAAATGTTGGTAAACAAAACACATCTACGCAAAAAGAAAGTGAAAAAAATAATATTATATATTACCACGCAGACATTTTAAATTAATTTGAATTTGATATTTAAAAAGTTTAGAAACATACTTTCTCTTCCATATATGAAATTAGACAAAAATACAATTTTCATTCATCTCCGGATTTTAAAATGAGTTTTGCTTTCTTTATTAAGTAATCGCTTCAACACATTGTCTTAACAAGGTGCATTAAATGGAGATCAAACATATTTGACTACGTTTAGTTTCTAAATTTGCCACCTAGACCTCGCCTCATTCTT